ATCAGTAAATAATTTCAAAAATGAAAAAAAAAATACTCAGAAACAATTTAGAATTAACGATAAAAAAATAAATAAAAATCAACAGAATCAGTTTTGGGAGAAAATACGAGATTATACACCAAACTGAAATCAAAAGATTTTCCCGGATTTTGATTTTTGTTTCCAAGTGTGATTACATTCTTAAAGAGTTTCTTTATTGTAGATGTCACACAATAAAACCCCAGTCGGTTCCCTTGAAACAAACGATAATTTTATATAATGCCAAAAATTTCAATTTCTATTAATGGAAATTAACTTCCAACCGCAATGCTTAACTTCTGTAACGATATCACCCCACCCCACCCCAATTTTAACCTAATATCGGAGTCATGCGAGATTCAAAAATCATAATTCAGCTTTATATATGAACATCAAAAATCGAAAAATTTATAAATTCAGTTTAACCTTAAAAAACAAAACAAAATAATAATGAGGCCTGTTTAAGTATTGACATCCGTAACAATACCTTAAAACCAGTACATGTAGTATATTAGACATGTTTTTCTAATTGTTGCAAAAAGTTTAAGATACCTGATTTGTGAATATTTGTGAACATTTTAAAATGTATACAATGAACATAGGTAATATGCAAGAAAATGCGTTGAAAAGAATTCTTCTGTCTTCGTTATTTTCGATCTTTAGAGATGTATTTTTAATATTAATGTAGGCCTGACTATCAGTCAATTACGTGGTCTGTATACTGTCTTTCCTAATATACTTTATTTTATCAAATAAAATATACAACATGACTATCTAAGTCTATAATTGTTTTAGTGAATTCGCTTTGGACAGATCAGGGGCCTTAAGGCGGCTCCCAAACCTCCAGCCTATCCAGGCGTCCACATAAAATGTACCCTGGCTACGCCCCTGTTTATTATATACAAACTTAATTGCAGAAAAATGCATCTGAATCAGGAATTTTTTTTTTTCTGGGCAATTTCATATAAAATGTAATATTAAACGATCCACGATATAATTTTACAGTCCAAAAACAGGAGATAGCTATATAATATTTTTTGAAAATTCTGTTATGAATTTAATTCTTCCCCTCTTATTACAAATGTTCATATTATTATCACTTGTCTCATGATCTAACAAACGTATCAAGATTGCAGATTATGTTGGTTTTCGTAATCTAATGTCAAATTTTAATGTTTTTGAGGATATAAAGGTGTTCAACGGTAAATTTTCATTAAAAATGTTTTAAAATTACCACTTTTAGTTCTATTTTCGATACAATGTTCCTGTCAGCAAAAAGTTCAGTTCCCACTGATGTTTTCCATGCCTATTGTGAGGCAACTATTAACATATGTACATATTGAATTGTTGACGGATTTTTCCGTTATTTTTCAACTATGACAAGGTGCACACGGCGGGTGTGACAGGTCGGCAGGAGGTGCTCACTCCTCCATTGCACCTGATCCCACCTCTGATGTTTTGGAGATCCGTGTTTGGTCTGCTACTATTTTGTATTGTTTAATGGACTTTTGAGCATGAATTCTATTCGTTATCTCCAAGTTATCTTGTCCATCTATATATTAGCTCCCTTCTCTCTCCTGTTGCCAATTTGATCTTCTTGTTCCTGTAGAACATGTAGGATATGACCTTGAATCACGAGCATTGACCGCTGATAGTTAATAGCTGATAGTTAGATAGTTAGTTATAATAGATAGTAGATAGTTAGCTGATGAAGAAAAAATCAGAATGTATGATTTGCGTAAAATGAATATTCCTATTCCTATTTCCTAAACAAAATATTGCAGTAATAGAATTAATTCTATTTCAGCATCAATGCTGCTTCTTTTAAAACCTTTCAATTGCTGAGTTTAATACTTCCTTTGTTGCTTATTTAATGTTCATGCCCTTATCCCATAATACTTTTCCTGTCTTATACTTTGCTCATTGATACCGCAAGTAGCATCTTCGTACCTGAAGAAGATATTTGAATTATGCATTGCAGTTTAATCCAACATATATGCTTCACAACATTTTTCATATTTTTATTACCTGTTTGTATTTGGAACCAGTTTTCTTTCCTTCTTTATTTATAAGGTAAAATACTTGTATTTTCTGAAGGTCGAAGGCCAATGCTGACGTTGGTCAACGCTAGTAATGCTTATTCTTTCATTGGTCTGCTGATGCTGGGTCTTGCAATGCTGGGGTTGTTTTTTGTGGGTGTTTTTTTTTTTGCTAGCTGATGCTCACTTTGCTTTCGTTAATAATGATTGAAATTTACCACTTCTGTATAAAACCATTTAAGCCTGTAAATCTGAAAAATACAATGACTCAGATAATATCAACTACTGGTACTGAGTATCTGCTTCTACTTTATTCATTTTTCTTACTAAGAATGCTTTAAATTATTTCTAAGCTCAATCTGAAAATACAATGACTCAGAAAATATCAACTACTGGTACTGAGTATCTGCTTCTACTTTATTAATTTTTCTTACTAAGAATGCTTTAAATTATTTTTAAGCTCAATCTGAAAATACAGTGACTCAGATAATATCAACTACTGGTACTGAGTATCTGCTTCTACTTTATTAATTTTTCTTACTAAGAATGCTTTAAAATTATTTCTAAGCTCAAGATTCGCAAAATAATCCTTCCAAACAGTTATTTGTTGAGTTTATCAAATAAAGACATTGAAAAAATAGAATATTGCAAATACGTTCTCTCTCTCTCTCTCTCTCTCTCTCTCTCTCTCTCTCTCTCTCTCTCTCTCTCTCTCTCTCTCTCTCTCTCTCTCTCTCTCTCTCTCTCTCTCTCTCTCTCTCTCTCTCTCTCTCTCTCTCTCTCTCTCTCTCTCTCTCTCTCTCTCTCTCTCTCTCTCTCTCTCTCTCTCTCTCTCTCTCTCTCTCTCTCTCTCTCTCTCTCTCTCTCTCTCTCTCTCTCTCTCTCTCTCTCTCTCTCTCTCTCTCTCTCTCTCTCTCTCTCTCTCTCTCTCTCTCTCTCTCTCTCTCTCTCTGGTTTTGCTATTCTGATTAAAAATCATTGTACAAGAACACATTTTGTAATACATCAAAAATGTGAATATAAGGAATAATGATCACTCTCAAAAGTCCAATTCAAAGTTATTGTTAAGCATATATCGGAGTTGGATTCACCTACCATGAAAGAGTAAGCATCCCCTGCCGACTTTTTACATCCGTTGTGTGTTTATTGTCGTTATGAGACATTTAAAATGAGACACAATCAATAAATTAATTGACACTAAAAATACGTATGGATTCTGTTATTTTATTTCTGTGAGTGTGTTTAAACAAGCTTGCTATAAGATATAAGGTATATAAACATACAACACACTACTTAATATATATAAGAGAAATATATACACGCTCTACACTGTATTCATCCTTTATTGATTACTAAAATCTTACGCCTCCGTGGTATCTGATCCCATCACTGATTTTTACAGAGGTTCGAATTTGTTCTACTCTCGGTTTGTTTAGTTATTAACACGACGTTTCATTCAAAATAGCTTTTTGATTATTCGAACTTCCTATCTTCTATGATATAGCTTTCAATCACGTATCTTAAATCCCTAAAAATTTGGCCTGCCTGGATAAAAACAAAAAGAAAACCATTAACTGTAAGCATACTGAAAAATTCTTATACGTTTGTTGCATTATAACTTGATTCGAATGGTTTGTTTGTTTGTTTTGTTTTGTTTTTCTTGTTTTTGTTTTTTTTTTTGGCCTCATATAGTTGGTTTGCTAGTACTTATGATAGAATACCGTATGCAATGCAAATGGCTACGTCCGCAATTTTGAATCCCAAGATGAAATATCAAATGTTGATGGAAAAAAGGAAGTATAAGACAAGCAGTATATTGGCATTTATTTAACATCGTTTTAGAGGCAGAAATTTATTTTAAATCTGTTAATCGTAGAAGGGTTCCTTTCTTCCTTAATCGAACTATATCACAAATGGTTTTGAATAACCAGTTCTTATTGCGACTGGTTAAAAGATGCAAAATGAAAGGCATGTATTGTTTTTTAACTTTTAAGAAAACTGCATATACGTTCAAAATTATGTATTTGTTATATTATATGTGTTAAGTTATATATTTATCGAATTTACAATTATCTTCATTATCAACAAAAAAGTTCTGGATTCCATTTTAATAGTATCATCAGCAAAATAGTTGGTATAGGCCTATTATTAAAAATGTTAGTTTTAATCATCCACAGTAATGGTATCTTTTGAGGTTGGTTTAGGTTTATATCCAATCCTAGCTTATAGAAATTTTGAATTTCGCGGTGTCCAAGTTGAACAACAATTGTGACGTCACTTCTCTCGAAGTAGTAAAGAGGATTGCTACTTGGTATTGTTACATCTGTCTGGTAATGCATAAACCTGTCGTCAATCTAAGTTAAAGAGAAGGCAAACAGTTTACATAATACACAAATATCTGAAGAGACAGAAGCAATGCACAAATCGATTTTATATACTAGTGTATATTCAAGAAACTACACTTTCTTATACTATCTATTTTCGTAACTGAGGAATCATCATTGTTCGTGGGAAACTGAAGTTTCTTGAAATTCATGACTCATCCTCACCAACGAATTTACATCCTCATGAACATTTTGTAAACAAGTTATCCTATAAACGAAATCCTACGATATCATGTCCCCGCAGACAAGTAAAATTTTCCTTACCCGCGAACATTGATCCCTTCGAATTAAATTATTCCATAATATGCATGAATAGTTTTTACTGAAGAAAGTTTAAAACAGCATACAGAGAAACTCAAAATAAGCTTTATGGATTGTCTCAAATAGAAGATTTCTAGGAACGAATATGTGCCCTGAAATCATATCAACTCATTCAAATATAAGAATTATACAGAATGATGATTTCTTCAAAGAAGTATGGAATGCACATAATTTATGTTCAACGAAATACTCGATTCATATATAGAAGTATATGTACTAAGTATTTTTTCGCTCACAGGGTCAGATGGTATGATACAGACTGCAATGCAAAGAGTGCTTTGGCTGCCGCAGTAGATGCAAAATCAAAATTTGACCCTCATCTTTTCCTTGGACCACCATGCTCAGCAGGTAAGTGCATGCATAACTTTGATTCATCGCAAATTTTCTTTTGCTAAACAGCAAAGACACTTCACGGATATTTTAAAATTCATTAAGTCTTAAATGTTTTGTCGTATACTAAATTTTCAACAATAGAAAATAATCATTGTATATTGCACCTGTTTCAACGAATAATAGTTTATGCAATAGTAAAATGAGCATTTAATATTCAAATAAACATATTATACTTGCTTGGTTGACGGACAACCTTAATTTTGCACTAAAGCATTGCCTTCGGGACCCAGTTGTAAAGTAGCCTCAGGCAAGGTTTCTAAAGCATATTGCCTTAAATTCGTCGACAACATGTAAATGTATGCAAATAAATTCTCAATAATTACTTTTATTTCCTATTTGAAATAAGGTGAATATTTGTCTAAATGGTTTGACTGACTGAAATCTCATAATTTTGTAATTTCCACAAACTGAATTTAATAAAGAAAAGGAATAGGTTGAAAAAGCCATTTGCCAAAAAGAAAATGATTGCAAGTATAAATCAATGTTCTACAAGAAAAGTGTTTGGTTTTTCTTAGGATACTTCATTCAAATTTTGTATCTTAGTTCACTGTAATATGCATTTGTTCAGATCTCTCTGTTTCATAAATATTTACTGCATTAATTTACAGGACAAATTAGATAAAGCATTGCATCGAAAAGTGAACTGCGTCAGTAGTCTAAGCCTTCAGGTGTAAACATTCAGACATTGCACTTAATTTAATGAGTAAAAAAGAGTATTAATGAATCATTCACATAGAACTAAAACCCACCATAATACAATGGTTTGTAGAATAGACATACATATAGCAAATTCTATTTTTAGGTATCAGAAACTTTAATGCAAATTGTATTTCCAAAAACCATTGTATCATGTTATCGATTTGTCGATATTAAAAATAGTTTTACTACGTTATAAAGTAAGATAAATTACTGCTTGTTGAAAACAAGAGAGTCTTGAGAGTAAAATACATTATTTTCAACATGTGCATCAAGATAAGTGCAAAATAAGTGACAGCACTAAACAACTAAACAACTTTTGATAGGCTATTATAAAAAAAAAACTAATAGAAACGTTGATAATTACGTACAAGACGATTCGAGAATGAAAATTATTGAATTAAACTAAATTATTATTTTGTTATATAGTTATCCTGTATTGTTTGTTTTAGGTATGAGAGGGGTTGCCCTCCTCGCCTCACATTGGAACACACCGATTTTTGGATGGGTATCACAAGAAGAAGAATTTCAAGACAAAAAAATGTATTCTACCCTGGTACGGTTTCTTGGACCCCTAAATCGATTTCGTAAGTACAAAACTGTGTTTCAACAATATAACTTTGATTCAGATTCAGTATCCTTACATTTTATTGGAAAATGACATCTAATGTTGTTTTCCAAAAGTTTTCAAAAATTCTTTTCCAAAAAAAATTTTTTTTTTCAAAATTAAACTAAGTACTACTCTTACCTCATATCTTAAATCTTTAATCAGAATACATTGTAGGATGTAGGATACATGGATTTTGCTTTCTTGTTTTAACTTCTCTCTTTTTTCTTATCTGGAGAAACTGATGAGGACTATGTGTATTCTTCAAGTCCTTGGGGTCCTGTAAAAGAAACTTTAGTTATTCTTTGGAGTTTATAAAATTCCAATTTAAAACAGCAAACCTATTTCATTATACAATATGATGCGTAAAATAAATTGTTATGTCTTTGTCTTGATGTAATCTAAAATGGGTTTAATCACCTTTCTAAAGAGAAATAAACAATCCTTGGACAAATTTTAATTAAGAGTTTTATAGCTAGAGCATGAAAAAAAGTTTTAAAGGATATGATGAAGTAGAATCAAGGGGGTATATACATGTATATTGCATCTACCTGCATGACACAATGCTTCAAGGAATGTGATTCCGTTTATTAGACATATGTACATTTTTTCAATCTTTTTTCTTCCAGCTGGTGTTATGTTCCATATGACGTCCATCTTCAAATGGAATCAATTTGCTGTGATGTATGATGAACGGGATCCATATCGAGCCGTAGCATCTGCCATTTCGGAGAAAAAATCCATCGAAAACGACGAAGATGAAACAAAGAACTGGTACAGCATCATACGGTCGTTCAAGGTTTCCAATGACATGGAAGAGAAAGAGATAGAAGACATGTTTACACAATTAAAACGATATTCAAGAAGTACGATGTCATTTTGCTGATATAATACAAAAATCTTATAATAAAAATTTGTATTTGTTGAAAGTTATTTTAAAATTTATTTTTTTAAATTAAATTATTATTAATTGATTACGTATGAATGAGATAAAGAGCATTTTAAAGGAATTTTTCATAGATATATATTTAAAGAAATATTTCGTTAAATCAGGTCAAATATACTATAATTACATCTAAAAAATTTAATACTACAAAAGTGTATGTTCGAAAAGCTAAAAATTGCATGTCATTGAAAAAAACATCAATGAATGACTAATTATAATCTTGAACTTGTTTTGCAGTTATCGTGATGGCATTACCCTGGTTAGATATGCGGAGATACATGTTAGTTGCCCATAGACTTGGGATGACAAATGGAGAGTATGCTTTCCTCTGCATCCATGGCGATGTACGTTAATTCTAATGTGCACATGTACTTTTTGTGCATTTGTTTCCACTCTGTTTTTTTCTTAAAATTAAAATGTGACATCACAGACATAATTATGATACATTTCAAATTATAGCTCTACACATACGATAGAATGGAAACTGACGTGTTTTCTGACAAGGTTTGGAGAAGAAATGACTCATTTGACGAGATAGCAAAGGAGGCATTTGAACCAGTATTGCATGTAAACACTTTTACTTTACTTTTTGGGCTTCTTCGTGTTGCATCTGAAAAGTTGCAATATTCGAACTTTGACATTTAATTAAATTATTTTTTTATATGGTGAATTTTCTATTCGTTTTTTATACTTTGATATATATTATAAAATTTTCATTTGTATTCCTTTAAATTCCATTGGAATGGTATGATTCTATTTCTATTTCATAATTTTCATATGTATGTACAAATTTACAATAGAAATGGAAAAGTTTTGAATATGAAAGGAAAAATGTACTTTACAAAAGGAAAAGTATACGCTACAAAGGAAAAAATATTCAATACAAACAAAAAACTTTGATACAAATGGAATTTATATTACATAATAGAATTCAAATAGAAAACTTTGCAATCAAATGAAAATGAAGTAATGCAAACTGAAACATAAATCTTAAATGGGTAGAAAATATTACATTACAAAAAAGTTATACAATACACATGAAATCGATTAATACTGCAACGTTGGACATGGTAGTAAATGTAATAATTTTGTTTAAATTCTAATGAAATCATAGATTAAAATTTTAAATGAACACATAAATTTTTTGATAAGCTAACCCAAAATTAAGTATTCCATAGCTCTTAATCTGTTGTCCGAAATACATACTGTTTTAAATGAAATCATAAGATTTTGAATATCAAATAGATTATGATGAAACCTCTAGAGAAAAATCAGTGGACACTTTTCAAGAATGTTGCTGATGAGTATGGCGATAGAACTAATCAAAACTGGAATCTTCCCATCGAGCATACCTCGGTAAGTATTTAAGGAGGCTCATTACACCACTTTTTGATGACGTACTACACAAAAAATAAACCTCCATTGTTTCGACCGATTTGCTTTGGGGTCGAATCGTATGGGTATCTCAATAATATGACCTTGACCTTTAAAACGCTTTAAAAATAGATGAGCCATGCGGTGTTATAAACAGTGAAAACAAAGTAACGGATTCATTTTACATACACCAAGAAGGATTACTTTTTAGCAGAAACAAAAGAAAACAACAGCCAAATCTTCGCCAAACAAGTAAGGAACAATTTCTGACATGTCGCAGCAGTGAGCTCTATCAGTCAACGTGTTTGTATGGAGGAGATTCGAGTTTAAATCGACAACTTTGTTGAAATTAAAAATGTTTTTTACTTGCACAATTTACTGTGTTGGTGTTAATTTATACATTTGCTTTATTATTGATTTAAATATATCTTATGGAAGTTTAAAGCTTTATTCTGAAATTAAGATGTAATGTTCAAACGTTCCTTTGTGTTTTGAGTCTTGGGTAATTAGGAAAGATAACTCTTGAAAAAGGACTTTTTATAACAAATATTTTCTAAATTGGAATTTTCATTTCGTTAAAACATTCTTCATTCAATTTGTCACAAGCAATTCATTGAAATACATTCCTTGTCTCTTCAGAACTCATTTTAAAAATATTTTATGCGCAGATTTAAAAGATAATGACATTTATTGTATTTTAGAAGAAAACTATTTTTTCTAATAAAATTAATATTATGTAGAATGGGGTATTTTCATTGTGTGTACTTGTCTAAGGAAGATGTCCATCGTTTGACACTGAAAGTTCTGAAATTCTGGAAATAATAAACTTGAAATAAAACATTTCACCAAAATAAAAAGAAAGTTAAAAAATTCTCTAAAAAATATTTACGATATCAATATCTCCATTTGGATATTTGGCATTTACATGGTAAGTGGTGCTGTTATGAAATCTAAAATAAAATGTGGATGTAATGAGCCACCTTAACTTTTTTGAAGTCGATAGTATGATTTCCATTTATAAATCGAAGCACAAATGTGGTGTAAAAGTTATTTATCTTCTTTTATCCCCGCAGTTACAACAATGATATAAAATTGTATAAAGATGCGTTATTAAATTTTGGAGAGAAAAAAAACAATTTACACATTGATTCAATGTTTTCATTTGTTCCATTTGGATTTTTGTTTTGCTCAGTTTTAGATAAATTACAAAATAAGGGGCTTATCACCTGGGTTATATATGATTTCTAAAATACTTTTGATTTCTTTATTGATCATAAAAAGTAATTAAAGATAATTAGTGTAAATTTATTGTTTTCAGCCTGATGCCTATTCTCCATATCTTTATGATGCAACGTTAGAGTGGGCAATGTTGGCCGATAAAATCTTAAGACAGAATAAAAATCCTCATGATGGAGAATACATGTTTAAGATGGCAGCAACATTAACAGAAGAAGGTATTATAATTGTTATATTTAACGGAATTTAATATTGATCACTGATCTTTGACTTCAGACCAAAAACTCCTTTACAAATGGTAAAATCTCGTCTTTAAAATAACTTATTCTTTGGGTTTTGAAAAAAAAATCTGATATTTCCAGAGGAGTTGGACGGACTTACTGGAAGAGTGAACTTGGATGATAAGGGAGATAGAAATCTGGATTTTCAAGTTCTTGACATGTCTGAAAATGGCACATTCACAAGAATCATCACCATTAATTACCTCGGGAAAGGCATCAGGGAGGTCAATTTTGAGGTACGTATGCATTTCTTTGTTATATGGGGTTCTTCCTGTGCATTTAAATGGTCAACCATGTAACAATACTACTGCTACATGTAGCATTCGATCTTTGTGAACACTATATAAAAAATTAAATTAAGTCTTACACCGTTTATCATTTACTATTGTGAACGTTTCCTTCAAATATTCTTTCTTTATTTCTTATCAGTACTATTCATAGTTTTATAAAGAGAATCAAAAATGTTCATTGAAAAATTACGTCTTTTTTCAAAAATCTACATACACCACATATGCATGTATTTAAAATAATTTATAAATGTATCTAAAAACTTCCTGAGCAATTGTTTTAAGATAAGTGAGAAATAGAGAGAGGGGGAAGTACATGTTCATTGTATGTACATATTTGAGATGTAATAACAAGAATTCAAATATGTATCAACTATAACATTCCTTTTTTATAATCATGATGGTCTATTCATTATGTACCTCATATTTTAAATTTATTTTAATTTTATATTAGTTTTCAAACGTCATATAAAGAAAAGTATTTTGATCAAAATATTCAGGGAATGATATAAAATATAAGTAAATATGTAGGTCCCGCCTCCCCTTTTTAATTACTAGTATTAAATTTATTTATTATGATTACAAATTCTCAAATATCGTTTGATGAGAACAAAAGAAAATTATCTTCAAAGGGCAACAAGACAACAGACCAATTGAGTAGATGGCCAATTAAATGATAAAATCGGTGTTCACAATGCCCCTCCTGACGAACCTAAATGCGGATTTGATGGGAAGAAATGTCCTGAGGAAAATGAGCATGAATTCTATTCGTTATCTCCAAGTTATCTTGTCCATCTATATATTAATGTCACTTTTATTAAATTATATAATTTAATAAAAGTGACATTTTTGAAATGAAAAATACCACATGAGATTTTTCTTTAAGTTTAAGTTTTCCTTTAAATTAAGGGTAGTGAGACTACAGACCAAGTCAGCCGGTGGCCAAATGGTAAGGTAGGCATCAAGAATGCTCCTTCTGATGAACCAAGATGTGGTTTTACTGGTGAAAAATGTCCAGTGGCAGATAAACAGCCAGGTACGTTAATTGCTATAATGTATTTAAGAAAATTGCCATATGGTATTAATTTGAACTTTTTCTGGATAAAAAGTTGCTATTGGAGAAATAAGGAAACACTTGATTTGAACTAGACAATTTCACATACATGGTAGGAAAGGAAGTAAGTTTTCCTTTAATTTTAATGTGTGTAAAATGGGCTCCAGTCTAATGAAAAGTAGCAATAAGTTTTGAATTTTTTACACAATATTTCCATCTTAACTGAAAATAGGTGTTTGGGTCAAAGATATTGTATATTATCTTTATAATTAAACTAACTAATGTATCATCCGTAAATCTAGATCATACAGAAACAAATACATGCACATGATGTACTGGCTTTAAATTTATACAGAACACTCAGGACCTTAAATTTTAAAAAAAATCTTACATATTCTTACAACAAATTCTTATTTTTTCATCTTGTTCCAAACATTCCTTGTACTATTCGTTTTTCTTTAAGCATTTATGCCATTTGGTTTACAAGTTTTGTTTGACATATTCAGTACTTGAAAATGTTGAAAATCAGAAAAAAAATAGTTGTTTTCATTTATTCAGCATTTAGTATATATTAATGTCGTGATATATTCATTTTTTTCAATACAGAAAAATATCCAAGTACTGGCAAATGGTTTCGACGTATATTCGGCACTGAATTCTTTAATTCGAAAGAATATTCTTACATATCCTGACATATTCTTATTTTTCAATTAGTTTCAAACATTTCATATACTTAGTTTTGACTTTTAACATTTATGCCATTCATATTTTCAAGTATTGTTAAGCATATACGTATAAATGTTGAAAATCGAAGAAAAAAAATATTTTACTTAATTCAGCATTTGGTACAGATTTATGTCGGGATATGTTTTTCTTCTTTTTTCCAGAAAGAGTGTACATCATAGTTCTATCCATGCTTGGAGTGTTACTAGTCATCAGCATTATAATCAACGTATTCTGCATTTTAAAGTAAGTCATAAGTTCATATGAAATATATAGAGATAACAAACAGTATTCGGGCTCAAATGTCCATTAAACACTAGAAAAGTGGAGTAGACAAATCAAGGACCTCCAAAACATCAGAAGTGGTATCAGGTGCAATGGAGGTAGGTGTGAGCATCCCCTGCCGATTGAATACACAGGCCGTGTGTTCTTTGGCGTAATGTAGTAATCGGGAAAACCCGTCGACAATTCAGTGTATTAAAAATGGCCTAACAAATATGTATGAAAAACGTTAGTCAACATTTGACTTAATGATAAATTGCATTTGCCAACATATGGGATTTTAATTTATAAACGTATCAGATATATTGGGGGTATTGTGGCTCTGTGGTACAGACAGTCACATGATATGCTCTGTAGCGAACTGTAAAATATTTTCCAAGTCTTATATTTCTTACCATGAATCATATGGAGATAGTGAATAGTATACAAGTCCATAAAAGAATACATAACAGGAGAAAGCAAACACGGGCCTCCAAAACATCAGAGGTGCCATACGGATTATTTTTAATGACAAGAACAGTCAAATGTTGCCAAAATAACGCCATGTTCTTTCTGGAAAAAGTATCCCTTTTCATTCGTCATATTGTGACTCATTTATGAAAGAGTGTAAATAGAATAGCATTATATTATAGATTGTTTACCTTGCAAGTGCTTAATTTTATCTGTCTTTTTATCGCCTCTAATTACTGGAGTAAAAATGTTTCAATTGACCTTTTCTACTTTTTTGCTATATGTATTTATTTGTATTAGAATTAATTCATAATTTGAATTATGCAGTTGAATTTTTTTCTGAATACCCATTATAATTTTGCTTTATTTGCCGGGCTATTGATTTTTTTGTTTGTTCTTTTCATTAAAATTGTTTATATTATTTTACAGAATCTGCGCAAAACTTGGAACATATAACCTTAACCCGGCAACAACAATTCGCTATCAAAATATGTCTCGAAAGGAAACAACAAATCCAGTTCCCTATTAAGATGCAGAATTAGTGTTTCGTTGTTAAATGACTCCGAAATTACTTTTCGAAGTTAGAAATCAATGAGAAGAGATCTGAAAGAGCATTTGGCATTTAGAGCAAAATGCTTAAATTAATATGAAATTGAAAATAATGAAAAATGTGAATATATAAAGTATTCCCATAAATTATTGTTTGTGATTATTTTTACCTAAATATTTCAATAGTGAAATATTTATGGATTGAAGCAAGTTTTATATCAAATGACAATACTCGCTTATTTCATAAATAACTTACCCTTTTCTTTGTAGACTTCGGATGAATGCTAATGTTCAAAATAAGTGCTTTCGAAGAAAGAAAGCTTGTTTCAAATGTTTATTATAGAGAGAATGCAAAAGTTACAATTATACTTCTGAGATACTAAGTATTCCATTTTCTGCTATATTGATTCATGCGAGATAAAATATTGTAAAATGGGAAGTAATTACACAAATGGAAAGAATTGACAGGGCAAGAAATAATACCTTACTTTTCTTTTATTTGCTTGATTTATTGAACAAATATCCTAGCCTTCTTTGATCTGTGAATACTTGTTTACTATGCCTTCTATCTCTTTACCTTAACTTATTAAATTTAGCTTCTTTTTTTCATATTGTGTACAACATAATACAAAGTAAACGGTAAAATACTAGTACTCGATCCGCGATGTTTCAGAAATCTCACCACATTTAACAATTATTATCCCTTAGTAATGCAAAACATAGCTTCAATATACTTTCTATTTTCGATACCATTAATGTAAAAATCACCAAGCAACGGTGAGTAAATGTATATTAAAATTAAACAATACGGAGTTTCCCCTTGCAAAGAGCATGTCCATGATGTCTATAAATCAAGGCAGCATTCTATATCGACCTCGATGCAGATTTCGTTACATCCTTTCGGAAGGTTTTGTTTTATTTACTCACTAAGCTCAGAAAACACACACACGATTGTGCTGCTATATCCCCTCCAAATCCACTTCAAGGTAAAAATAAATGGGAGGTTATCCATAAACACTGAAATAATGTATCCATTAGCAAGTTGGAGGTATTGTCATTTAAATAAAATGGTGATTTATACATGTATTATATTGCATGTCATTAATTCAACATTTAGATAAATGTTTCATTTAAAAATGTCTCAATTATTTCTGCTATCCATTTGATTTTTCTTTCAGATTTTACAATATATTCAAATTTGATGTATGAAAAAAAAATAAATTCGAATGAAAGATGATATACAGTTTTAAAAAGTTTGTGAAGTGTATGTTTTGATGAATAAAGTGTAACATAAATTGATTAAAATAATGTATTTGTGTTTTCTTTTTATAAAAATCAACTTATATTAAAAACAATATAAAGTAAAATGGAATGTGGGTTCTTGAAGCGCATAGTATAAATGCATTTAAGAAAATAGTTTTTATTCAAATTTCTCACTAGAATATCGGTTCACTTATTATTTCCTGACGTTTTATTTATTTTTATTGTATTCAGGGAAAACTATGAAAGAAAAATTAAAGGTTAGGAAATTAACGAAAAGAGGCAAGTGACTATTTACTTGATTGAGAATTGATAATTTGTAGAAAATAGTACAGAGGGTAGTTTATTCATACCTATGTGCGTATGTAAGGAATGACAGCGTAATAAAATATGTTTAGTTAGAATGTGTTCTGTTATTGATCTAATTTTTTATGTTCTTTTAAAAAATGGATTGATTGTCTGTTGATTAACGTCCCTCTCGAGAATTTTCATTTAAATGGAGACTTCACGACTTGCCGATGGAGAGCTACAAATTTTTCCTATACTCGGCACTAAGGGCCAAATAGCAGTGAACGATCTTTTTCGTGCCAGCACCTACTGCGACACAGGACCTCGGTTTATACGGTCTCAT